GTATACCTATGATGAAAATTACAGGCCTCTCTCATCTTTTTAAGTGGGAGAACTTGGACAACTGGTGGCTGACTAAATACTTTTTTGCCCCACTGTACATATCAAAATCAAGTTTTGAGACATTCAATATAAACCCTGAAAAATAATTCAAAGTCCAAAATTAAAGAAAATAAATAACTCTTCTTCTTTAAAAATAGGCACTGTATGATCTAAACATATAAATACCTTTTCTACTCTACTTCCTTCCTGTAGTGGTGGGCTAGGTCATGATTTAGCACTGTGTAGACGCCAGCTATCAGCTATAGTAAACAAACTATGGAATATGTCTTAGCAAATAATGGGATTCAACCAACCATGGGGCCCCCTGGCTTGGATGAGAGCAACTGCTGAAAAACAGGTCACACTAAGCCAAACATAGTTTTGCTTAGTTTTGGCTCCTCAAGGTAGAATCTCTGCAAGTACTGTAACCAGGATCTAGTTACTTAATCCCCAAACAGAAAACATCTCAAACAGCTTACTCTCCCAAGGTATCAGAGAGTGTTCATTCTTGACTTTTTAATATTGTCCCTTCAGCAATTCCCATAAGTAGCTATAAAAATACTTCACTGCATGGAACAGAATTGAAAGAGTAACTCATTTTTCTGTATCTCTATAGCGATATCTGTGGCACCTCCTTAATACAAAAAGTTGGACAACTTTTATATGAACTTTTACTTGCAGATAAAGTTCCAAAGCGTCATGGCGAATAGCAAAATTCTGTTTGGCAGTTTGCCAGACATGGCAGCGTTACAAGAAGCAGCAGGACACATAGGAAGATAAAAAGTCAGTTCTTCCCTGTTATTACTGCATATTATTTGATTTGATACCAAGTTCACAAAATCTTGTATCTTTTTCCTTGTGTTATTACCTGAAGCAATGCCATGAATCTTTGGCATTGGTCTGTGACCTTAATAAAATGTATTGATTGACTGACTGCAAACCCAGTCATTATCACTTCCAAACTATGATTTACAGCTTAGCATGACAGTGAACCTAATCAGCTGTGATTTGTTAAACCACGACTTAGCACAATATATGCACTCAGCAATATAATTTAAAATATGAAGTCATTTTTCTCTGTCAATCCTTTTTCTTATTTATGGAGATTCTCACGGCACTTACGAAGTGAGTGCTGAAGAAGCTTCTTCTTGTTGTAACACCAAGAATCTGGTATACAATGTTTTTCAATGACAATGTTATAAAAGTGCTAATTAACAGAAATCATTGGATTACTTCTTTGTTAAGAGTCACTCCACAGAGCAAGAACTCTGCAGACATATACGTTAACTTTCACTGCCTTGCCATAGGACTTACCACTTCAACACGTGCAAGAATGATAGGAAGTCCAAAAGCAGAAACCACAATTCCAGTTGTGAAGAAATATGCCAGTTCCTTGCAAGTATTGCTTGCTGCATCTGTATCATCGCTTACCCTTCTTGCAATAAAGTGAGGAATAGGGCATATGGCATAAAATATCAAGACAAATAATGGCCAATAGGTACTGCAGAATGATAAAGAACAGGAGATTAAGGCAGTTTAAAATAAATGTTTATGCAATATCAACTTCTTTTGTCATATTCAGAAACGCAGCTGCATACATTCACATATGTATGCATCCTATCCCGTATGATAAATATACAAGTTACTTTCTATTGCTTCCTCAGTACCCACTTTTTTAGTCCGCACACAGACACATTTATTCAGTCAATGACTTTTTTGGTACATTTTTGTCAGACCATTTCAGTTTTCCTCTCCTTTCATACCATTCTCAATTATTAATCCCATATTTAGTTCTTCTGATAACCGTGTTTCAGCCACACAAAAGAACTCAAAGTATATTCCTCTACCTATATTTACAGATTTTATGCCAAGTAAATGTGCTCAGAATTAATATACCTGACAACAAAGTATTGGCACTGTATCACTCAAAGTAATATGCTCTTACCCATAAGTTTCTAAGGCACATCCCAACATAAGAAATGTCAAACCAATGACTCCAGTGAACGATAAGCCAACCAAGGCTGGAAAAGTGGAAATAAAAAGAATGTCACTCCGTTGTTTAATTTTAATAAACTAACTTTCACAAATATAATTATAAAATCACTACCGGGCTGCTGACATTCTTTAAAAATAATTCTAGCACATATCATGGAAGCTCTAAGCCGAGATATAAATGATGTGTAGTAGTTAACTTGACCATATAAAGTGATATCATATTTCACCTAAAAATGCCATCTTAACACACTAAAGTTGAGGTTCCAAAGGAGCAAACTTTGATGGTGCTTTCAAAACCACCCTTCCTGATTGGGAGCTTCTGTTATTAGATTTTGGTTGGACTCTTTAATTACACCACAGTGAACAGAAACAGTTCAACAAAGGGGAACAGAAACAGGACACACTGGTCTTGGTGGCTTCAAGAAACCTACTAGGAAAGATACCAAGATCTGCTGGCAACAGAGTGGTCAGATTGTTTCTACAGGTTCGGAGAAGAGGGGGAATAATCAGCAAAGAACTTTGCCTGGCGCCCCAGAGGTCCAGGTTGCACCTGCCGGTGAATCTTTGCTGAATAAGCAGGGGAGGAGACTCCTCCCTTATTTGACGTCTGTTTTCTGTGGAGCTGAAATTTCCTTCAGGCAACCCCAGGCACGACGCAGGAGAAAGCGATACTGCTAGCAACAGCAGAATAGAAAAGGGGTCGAGCCGTCCAAACTAAAAGTTCTTTACGAACAGAGCATGAGTAGCCGGCCAGAAGATGGGGAGAGAGAGAGAGACGGGATGCTGGATATCCTGCGGTAGAGATGCGGTTGCCACAGCGATGGTCGCTATGACGAAAAAGTCGAATTACACGACTTCGTGAAGGCCATCCCTCACGGAGAAGGAGAAAAAAGGGCTCGTACCTTTGATCCCCGCCATGCCCCCTTCCTGGAAGGGGCGATTTTCACGCCTGGGACCGCTTTCCGGACTTCGAGGCAGAGGAGGCGGAGTGTAAGGCCGCTTCTTCCGCCTTCTCTTCACGTGGTCCGCTGCTAAAGCCTGCCCCTTCCCACAGGAAAAAAAAAAAAAAGAGGGGGAAACGGGAAGAACTTGTTTTACAAAAACAGGAAAGCCATATATTCAAAAATACCGATCTCGAGTTCGCGGCACCCCACCGCTTCGGGAGCCTGCCCGGGGTCGACCGATTCCCTTCGCGAAATGCAGGCCGTCGGGCTGCTTCGTGTTCAAACCGCAGCAGCTTGCGAGTAAATCCCCAAAGGGGCTTTTCTCCTCTTCCTCCTCCTCCTCCCCACAGGCTCTGTCCCATGAATTCTCTCAGTAGGAGTTTCTTGCTTCCTCACCGCGCGAGAAGGAGCGACCGAGCCCACGCGTTGGGAACCAGCCGGCTGACTCTGCTGAGCGTCTTTTTAGCAGGAAAGGAGAATTTGCAACTTCAAACGAGCTGTCCTCGGACAGCGCTTTGCTGTCTTCTCGGAGCTTCCGCGGAAACATAGAGAAGCCGTGCAGCGTTTACGCGCGGCTTCAATTTTAAGAGCCCTTTGTTTTTGTAGATCGTTTGCCGAGGGGTGGGGAAAGTTATCTGAAAAATCACGCATGGATTAACGTCGAACAGAATACTTCTAATTCTTATGTTCTCCCATGTGCCTGCTGATATTTAGAAATCATTCTGGTTTTAGAATTTGTTATACCTGTGCAAAAATCTGTCATGGCATAGCAAATGCAGTTTGAGGCCTTCCACACCATCCCAATGTTTACTCTTTTGATTCCTCAAAAGCAGTGTGGCCCATGGTCAAAATGCATAAAAGAGCATGATGACAAGATTTCTTCCTTCCCAGATGGAGAGGGCAGTAGGACAGGGCAAGGAAAACCACTGAAACAGAGCTGCTGCTGACACCCACATTGTACATCCATGTTTGCATTTCCTGGCATTTTGTTGTTTTTTTAAGTGTTGCTGTTAGAGGAAGGAGATGCTGAAGCATCACACAGGAGGCTGTTCATATTTTAAATCCATGTGTGTATTTCCTGGTGGTTTCCAAAAAAAAAGGGCTGCTGCTTTCAGGGGGAGGAGGAGGAGATGCACAAGCCATGCGTAGGACTCTGTAAGAAGCAGGGAGCCAGGTGGGGTGGGTGTGATGGAATGGAATTATGAAGACCAGACTCAGGGAGAAAAACATTTTCTTTCATCGCCTTAGGCGAGAGGGAGAGATAAGAGGATGAGACTGGCACCTCCCTGAGGAATTCACAATGTTGTGGCTGGCATTACTTGGGAACTGGGGTTTCAGTCTGAGAAAATTCTTGCTAGAGGTTTTAGCTAATAAGCATTGCTGGACTGAATTTACATGGTCTCTTGGAGTTCCTTGGGCTAGGCCTGACAGTGGGTAGGGAGAGATAAGAGGATGAGACTGGCACCTCCCTGAGGAATTCACAATGTTGTGGCTGGCATTACTTGGGAACTGGGGTTTCAGTCTGAGAAAATTCTTGCTAGAGGTTTTAGCTAATAAGCATTGCTGGACTGAATTTACATGGTCTCTTGGAGTTCCTTGGGCTAGGCCTGACAGTGGGTGAGGAAGTCCCCATCAATAGAGAAATGGCCCAATCACGTTCTGCAGAGGTGTAAATGGAATAACTTTTTCTGCGGCTCTGTGTGTGTGTGTGTGTGTATGAATAAAATGGTGTCAGATCACACAGGTGCAGAGTTACTTGTAGAGCAGCATGAAGATCCTCATGTGGAAGAGCCATTAGTTCAAAATGTTAGACTCATTTACGGATAACAGGCTATCCTCAGTGAACACACAGAATCACAGAGTTGGAAGGGACCTTGGAGATCTACCAGTCCATCCCTCTACCGAGTATGGGACAAATGGCTGTCCAATCATCTCTTGAAAAGTTCCACTGATGGAACACCCTCTACTTCAAGGAGGCTGTTCCGTTTTTTTTTAAATAGTATTTAATTAAGATTTTAAGATTACAAAGTTAAAAGTTAGAAATGAAAAAGAAAATTGAAAATACAA